GGCTGCAATATAACAAAGAGTGAAAAATTTAAGGGGGTCTGAATACTTTCCGTACCCACTGTATGTAAGATAATGTGTATAAATGTCTGTTAGTCCCCACCACAATTTTGGGTGACAATAAATAAATACCCATAACTAATTACTATGAACTAGAAAGTACATAAGCAAACAGCAGGCTACCTTCAGAGCAGATGGAGCTGGTGCGGGTCTAACCATGGTTTTCCAAGCCAAACGTGGTGGAGCAGGATTCACAGCTTTAAACTCCTCCGGCCCTCTCTGGGCATCCCCTTCCTGTCTGGCTGCAGGTAAGGACAAAGTGGTGATGCTCTTGGCAGCATTACCAGATTCAGAACTCTGTGTTTCTGGAGCATCTTGTTCATCTTCGTGGATGGAGCCATGGTTTCCCGAGATGATGTTTTCAGCTGGTAGCTTGAGGGATGTCTGGCCAGAGAGTAGCTGAAAGCCAGTCCCTGTGCTCTTCGTGCTGCCTAGAGCACTCTGTTGTTTACCAATTTTTGGAGCAGCACTAAGGGATTTGGGCTTCCTGCCTCTTCTTGGAGGGTCCGCAGGGCTGTCCATACCTACAAGCACAGCATGATAAAATATGAAAAATCTAAGGCATGTAAACAATGTGCATTTCACACTTGATACGGGAATCAAATCTGAAAAAGAAGAATACCAGATGCTTTTTTGATATGGGATGCATTAACTGACCTGAACTTGCATAGTGACTGGAATGCCATTATGAATAACCTTGAAATCAACAAACTCACCTTTCTTGGACTTGGCCATGGCAGGGGGAACCTGGAGCAATCCAAGAAGACCTCCAAGTTCCTTCCTCTGTGAGAATTTACAGTGTTATAATTTGAAATAGGACAATAATTGGTCTGATCAATATTTGCATGTTTTATAATCATCAGTTATTTAGTATAAAAACAAAAGTGTGAGACCAATTAATATTTAAACAATGATATATAGTCATAATGCAACTTGTATGGTTGGAGCCTAATGGTTATATTTATTATTTTGTAAAATGACAGAAACAAAGCAATTAAATCGATTCAAGATATTATCCGTTTTTTTATATGTATTTATTGGTATTGATGGGGGCGGACAATAATTGGTCTGATCAATATTTGCATGTTTTATAATCATCAGTTATTTAGTATAAAAACAAAAGTGTGAGACCAATTAATATTTAAACAATGATATATAGTCATAATGCAACTTGTATGGTTGGAGCCTAATGGTTATATTTATTATTTTGTAAAATGACAGAAACAAAGCAATTAAATCGCTTCAAGATATTATCCGTTTTTTTATATGTATTTATTGGTATTGATGGGGGCAAAATAATATAGTGAAAAATTTAAGGGGGTCTGAATACTTTCCGTACCCACTGTATATCGAGTTCTTAAGTGCTGCGTTTAAACATCTAGTAAGCGGTCTACTTAAAACATTTTGGCCATCAAATGCTGTCTGGTTGGGCATCAGCATCACACTAGATTTTGAGATACGGCCAACAAATCGCTCTTCGGCTCTGCAAAACGCTACATCTTACTTTCTTTGCATTGCTGAAAAAGTATGATAGCCTATTATGCTTGTGATTTCCTGTGTCTCATTAACTGAGGGTATATAACAACATTTGTTAATGTTTATTTTGTCAGACGCAGCGCGCTCATTGTGGGCAGAATTACAATGAACAACATGAAACAATGTACAGTAGCTAACAGACGCGCATGACACCAGCCACAACAAATCTACACGAAGCATGTATCTATAAACTACATTCGGCGTGGGACATTTATCCACAAAAACGACTGCTTTGCACATACTTACCCGTTAACTTATGATGGTTTGCATTTTTGTAAAATAACTCGGTTCATTCCAAAAGTTTAGAGGCTTGTCTTCCTCTCTTCACTTCCCTGCTGCATGCACCCTGCGACTGTCATGTGACCACACCGCGCCCTCTAATGGTAAGGGGAGAGTTTACTTTAACTCTCTGGTGTTGTTCGGTCATTTTAGGAGAAGGGTATAGTAAAAAAAATAGTCACACTTGTGTTGTTCGCGGTCAAAAATGACCGCCATTGGAAATGAATGGGAAATATGCAAAAATGCAGATAATTTTTGTGTGTACAATCTACAAATCATTCACGATGCAGAAACACAGTGCACAGTAATGAAGGGGTGACACTCTAAAATATCAAGAGTGCAAAACAGACGCATTCCACCCACCCCAGACACACTATGAACTAGTGTGTGAGCGTGACTGTAACACAAAGCACGTTTTTGCAAATGCGTGAAATAAAAAAAATAATTTAGCCACAATGCAGTAAAAACAGACACCAAGCAAAGGGGTGACACTCTAAAACTTCAAGAGTACAAAAAAGACAAACACTCGCTTACACACACTCACAGACAGACACACACACACACACACACACACACACACACAATACACTATTATACACACAAATTAACTGGTGTGGCTGTAACAATATGGGAAAATTGAGTCAGAAGACTCAAATAAGAGGTTGAAATCAGATTGATTAACCTCTGATAAAGTATTCCTGTTCATTTATGTTACATTTTTGTTTAACTTTGATGTTGTGTAATAAAATGTCTTTCTTTGTGTTCATGTTTGGTTTGACTCTAGTAAAATTAATGCAAAAACTGACATTTCAAACCAACATTACACACACACACACACAAATCTAAACCTTTACAAAAAGTTGTCTTTGTGAATGTCTTAATATAAAACCAAATCCACACACAAAAAAAAGATTTTATAAGCCTTTTATATAGAGCTATACAGTATAGGAATCTAGTGGCTAAACCATGGAATTGCACAAGTTATGTTTTTTTCTCCCACCAGATGGAATTAATCTGCCTTCAAAAATGGGATTTTAAAGGCATTGTCTCTATTTTAACATGAAATACTGCCATAATTGAAAAGTAATAGAAAATTTAAAAAAAATTGTATTATTTTCAATGGAAAAAAAAAAGTATCATAATTATTGCCTAAATATTAATTAGTACAATGAAATTCTCTCAAAATACAAAATAAAAAATTATTGAACAAAAATTTATAAAACCTGAAAATAAAAAAAAGGTTACGTTGCAGGTGTCCGGTCACTTTTGACCACGAACAACACAAGTGTGACTCCCAAATGAACAGAGGGTTAAGTCTGGGTTTGGTTGCTAAGTAAAGTGTGTAGACCTCAGGCCCACAAAGACTGCGAAACAAAAGTCCCACAACAAAAGATGTCTAATGAATTATTGTGGCTTGTACAAAATTCACGTAACTCATTTCAGTCTACATATTACAAGATGCATGTTTCAATAGCTAACAACTTTTTAGTAAGAAAAGACATTAGCCTAAATGAGGCGGTCACTATATGCCATTCAAGCACTTTTTGTTTAAGCATCACGTATATCACATGTATATCACAATAAAATTAAATAAGACATTATCGGGGAAAAAAACAATATTGTTTGCAAGTGGGGAATTTCAACACATTGAGTCCCAAAGAATAACTGTACCTACAGAAATTCCTTTGAAATTGCTGACCACCCTGAAAGTCATTATATAATTTGCAGTCTTAGTTGCCCATTTTCCAATATGCAGCAACTGGCACTTAAAGGCTACACTCTATAATTTCTCCTTTCATACTTGCTACATTATGGTACACATACAGCTTGAGTTAAGGCCACTATTGATGCTTTTAAGCAAGCTCTACCGTCCAGTTGCTTTAATGGATCTTCGCCCTAGGTAGGTGAAGATCTTCGCCAAACAAGTAAGAAATACTGTAAATAGATCAAAGATCCATATCAAAGTCACAAGCAATGCCAATGATTAATTTCCATTCTGTTTAACAGTACAAAATGCAAGATGTTTTTCAGTTTAAAAATTTTATTAATCTGTACACTAAATGTAAATCACTGTTCAAATACAAAACAAACAAAAAAAAGTGTTTAATATGCAAGTAGTGCGCAATACTAACAAAGGCAGAAATTAATCATTAAAGTGAGAAACGAATTATTAAATACCACAAAACTTGAACTATATATTCAGCAGTCTTGTATAATAACTTGAGGATATGTGCATATAAAATTACAATTTCAATCAAACTGGATTCTTCCTTAGTTTATCAAGAACATAAAAACAAAGCATACACATGCTAAAAAAATTGACCCTGGGGGTTGAGTGATTGCAAGCACAAATGTACAAAACAAGGGATAGTCTAGTAAAAGAGTACTTAATACTCTTTCTAAAAATAAAACTATTGATAAAACTCCTAAAAACAAGTGGTAAAATAACCTTGCAAGAGGCAGATCTATTTTACAGATCATCTGCAAAGACGAAAATGAAAAGCATTTTCCAACTGTTTGGCATAATAGCTGCCAAACCAAATCTGAAGTTTTGTATCAGCTGACCTCTTAGGTTAAATAGGTTAAACAAAAACATTCTTGAGAGCACAGACCTCGCAAGAATACAGAATTTGTATAATTACACATTTGGTTCAAAAGTGCTTGAGGTCTGCATTTATTATAAAGTCACAGGAGTGTTATGAATAGTTTCAGTGTTTTTCTCCCTTCTTCGTATGGTTGGGAAACATCCTATATATTGCAGCTATCTTCATAAGAAGGTGGAGGCTCTGTCAAAAGAAATAAAATCAAATTAATCACCATGTAACACTTCCTTACCTAAAGTACAATCAATTAAATATAATAGTAATAATAATTTAAAGGGGTCCTATTATGCTAATGTTTCATATCGTTCGGTATCGATAATTATTGACATTTTTCATAACCTTTTTTTAAAACAAAGAGCAATAGAATTTTTTTTAAATTTAACCACTGTATTTTTAAATTAACCCAATTTATTGAGACAAACAACAAATATTTTTGTT